ATGCGACATCAACTTCGCTGGGCCAGCCTCTACATTCAGATGGCCGACTCCAGACTCCCAAAGCAAGTTTTATTGTCCCAGCTCAGTCAAGGTGTACACTCAAGGGGAGGGCAGAGAAAGTACTTGAAGGATGTCTTCAAGGCCAACATGAAAAATTGTAACATTGACATCAGCTCATGGGAAAATATCAACCAGGGCCACCCCAAATAGAGGAAGGGTCTGCTGTGAGGATCTCAGTACTTTGAAACCTTCCAAAGACGATAGGAGATGGAAAAGCAAGAGCAGCAAAAACAGTGCATCACGGTCCAAACCAAGAACCCAGTCACCCACCCCACATGGAAACAAGTGCCTGAGTTGGTTTTGGATGGCCTCATCAGCCATCTTCAGACCCACAGATAAGACATTCATGCAAGATGATTATCCTCAACTGCTAGGGACTGCCAAAGAAGAAGAAGAAGAGATCACTCTTTGACTACAGTGTGTGCGTGTGCAGGGGGGGATCAGCACCATTCAGGACTCATTAGTTCTCGTGTTTTTAACACGTCGTGTTAAACATGTTAAACACGTCTCGTGTTGTTGTTCTTTATATAAATTTATGTCCACGGTACTGCATCCTACACTGGCTGTCTCTTCTCAGAAAATCCTTCTGACATTACCCAATGATACTAGACACCATCTGAACACTGCCATGTTTCAAACCCCATCATCCCATTGCTACAACCATTGCCATCGCCAATCACTAGCTATTAATTTTAGTACAAAATTTCTATTCAGGTTCTAGCTGCTTAGGGTCCCTAATGAGCCTCCTCACATAATTTAAAAGCTTGGATGACAATGGTTTTTAAGAACATATTTCTTCCAAAGCTGGAATCCAGGGCTTTTCATGCTAATGATATGGTAGCAATGCACTAATGTAGGTTACATGGGGGGAATAGATATGGAGCCGTTGGTAACACAGCAGGAAAGCATAATTCATGATGAGATATTATGCATGACACATTATACAACTGGCCTTGTTATCATTAAACCATTTGACTTGGCAGATTTATGTCATCTTGTGTTTCAAGCCATCACTACGATTCTGGAAGCCCGTTCACCCAATTACATGCATGGACAATGATGAAACTTGGAGCTAGCATTGACCACTACACCACTATCACGGAGCTGGAAGTCCAGAAGCATGGCGTACCTAATGCATTTGTATCCAAAATGCATTGCTCTAGAAGTCCTGGACCACCTGTGTGACAACACTGATTATTCTACCCACATCCGTAGCAAAATATGGAAGGCCTCATCTCCCTCCTATGGAATCATAGGTGATTTTCTTTTCATTGCAGTTCTTTCTTCTGTGATGATACTCTATTAAAATAGAGCATCATCCCTTCAAGCCCCTGAGGCAGCATGAAGTGGCCTTAAAGTGAGTGGAAACAGCTCTCGTCAGCTGGGGAAAGGTTCCCCCGCTCTGGAGCAGACTCAAGGGCTGGTCAGAGGCATAGCTGGAGCTCACTGTAGTACCTGTATAGCTGTTCTCTGGTCCCCAGGGCTCATCAGAGGCCATGGAAACTAAAGCACATGATAGAGTAGACCAATTTAACTGAAAGCAAGGCCTGCTCAGCTTTGGCATTTTGCAAATACAGAGGTGGCCCCAGCATTTCTGCTCCTACCCCAAACACAAAGCAAAGCCAATGAGAATCAGGTGCTGTGCATCTACAGCCTATTCATTTCTCTGCTTCGCATCTCCTCCTCTCATGCCTATTAAGTGCACATCCATGCATGCGCGCGCGCACACACACACACACACACACACACACACATAACTCTAAGTCCACACAGCTGTGCTCATCCATCAAATCCTGTCCGCTTTAGAACATAAGCTCCTGCCATTAATTAAACAAATGTAATGTGACTCGTTAGGGCTGTGAAGGTTTCTAGCCCTACTTAGCTACACGTGGTCTGCATCAGAAACTTGCAGTTTCATACACTGATGCCGTCCAGGAGCATTTATCTTTGGGGCTGAATTTTTGGTTTTAAAGTCGACCCCTGTAACTAGAGGGAGCTTCAATAGCAAGTGTCTGGTGATACTCTTCTGCAGTCTTTAAAATGATGCTTTAAGCCAAATCCCCTTTGTATTGTTCTGTGAGGTCTTGGAATTGGGAGAAGCAGCTAATTTTTAACCTTTCAAAAATTCTTACTGCATATTATTTTAATAAGGAAATAGCATGAAGAGCTGCGGTCTGGCCTGGGGAATTCCCCTTCTTCGAGACCAGTGCCTTTGCTTTGCATCAAAAAATACTGCTTTAACTTAGCTGTTCAGAAGCTGGTTCAGAAATTTTTGGGCCATCAGCCTGAAGGCAAGCGGGACAGTCAGTAATTTTAAGCTGGAACTGGACACAGAATAAAGCAGATGTCTGACTAAGAAATATGCACAGCCAAACTAAAAGCTTTCCCAGCAGTTCATGGTATGTTATCCAACAGCTCTAAAGTCCCTTTTCAAAAATGATTCTCATAGTTTGACTCAGACCCTCCAGGTTGCTGTCTGCGGTTTTTCCCAGTGGCCTGAGGAAGGGGGACAGAGGCACCCAAAAGCTTGTTTAGTGTCCTTCCAACTATACAGTCCGTCTAATAAAAGATATCACCCACAAAAATCCTTGCTTCACAAGGTTGTTAAGCAAATCCAATGGGAGTCGTATGACTCCAGACTGGGGAGGATCTGGGCTTTAGGAATTAAGTCCCACTGAGTTTCAATTAAGCCTAGGCTCTGCAGGATGAGATTTTTAAAAGGGTTTAAGTGCCTAAATATGCAGACAGGCACCTACTGCAATTTTCAGAATCGCTCAGGTGTCCAATTCCCATTGAAATAAATAGGAATCGGGAACAGAAGATCTTTTGTACGTCCCATGAACCGCCTCACTGAATCTTTAGGCATCTAGGTCCAGATCCTGGAAGAGATTTCAGCATCAGATCTGGCCTTACATTCCCCTTTGCATATGGGACTCTGATGGTTTTGTAAGAGTACTGAAGACTGAATACCAATTCAGTAGCAGCGGGAATGTAATCACATTTAAGAATATGGGTCTGTGTGACTCAACAGATGAGTTGTCTCTCTCCCTCTCTCGCAATCTTGTCTCTATCCCATTCAGACTGATAGAATCGGTGTTAAACAATCCTTTAAAACAGCTACCCAGATCAAATTATTTGTCAACACAGTGACTGAAAAACCATATATGACTTATGTATGTATAATGGCAATTCAGCATAGGTTGTAGGTAGTTCATCAGGTCAGTGCTACCATCATAAACCAACAATGCTGAGACTAGGGAGCTAGGTAAATCACAGAGGGTATCATATTCAGTGTATATCTAGTTGTGATTAAGTAGTCTCTGCTTTCCAAAGAAAGATAAGGCCCAGAAAGTACAGGTCCCTCGACAGCAGCAGGTAATCCTTATATACGGTCCCCAGCCACTAAGTCATTCATCACAATAAAAACAATCTGTGGGCCTAAGAAGGAAGACCATAAATCCAGCTTTATAAATGAGCGCTGTACATCTGATACGGTGCATTGCTCCAAATTTACAGCTGTTGTAAATGATGTGCTGAGGTTCAGAAATCCATCTGCAGTGTCTCGATGAGAAGAGAGGGAGGCAAGACGCTTCATGAGGAGCGGGAGGAATCGGAGAGAGGAGCACGCTTATGCTTAAAGCAGGAGTGCAGAGATAGGAGCCAGACGGTCCAGCTTGCATGGGAAAACTGAATGTGATCTTCCAGCCTTAGCCTCACAGTATCTCCATCTTCTCTTCAGCTAACAAGAGGGAAACCCCCTAGCTCCCAGGTTTCTGGTGTGTCCGGTCCAGAAACTGCCCAGAGCCAAAGAGTCGGACAAAGGTCTGCTTCACGCGCGGTCTCTGTTCTAGCTGAAGGCAGGGTAGAGAGGCACCTTTACTAAACAAGACATATAGAGAGAGCACAAGCTTTCATGGGCTGAAGCTCACGTCATCAGATGCAGCAAATCAAAGTCTTTCCTAGATCATATAGGCATCTACATACCTCAGTTTTCCAAGAAAAAAACAATGAAGGCACCTAAACATTGATTACTGCACATAGGTACCAGATACACCGAGCTGCAGGTGCCTACATCTTGCTAACGGCCATCTGGGATTCATAATTTAGGCCTCTCCATGCCTAAGGCCCCTGCCACACATTACATATATTGCACAATTTACCAGTTAATTGCACAATACATTTAGACCAGTCACATGCGCAAACTCATCATCATGCCATAAAAATGTCCATCCAGCTGTAAAAAGAGCCAACCAGCTACAAAGTTAGTGCTTGCAAATGTGTAACAACTCTAGAGCTGGTTTCTATCCAGCTGTAATTTGAATATGTGGCAGGGCCCTAGGTCTCACAAGGAGCCCAGTCTGGCAGGCATGCTCCAAGCAAACACAGCAGACTGAGTTGTGCGCTTGCTGTCACTACAAAAATGACAGTCATGCGAGCACCAGTGACCCCCTGGAGCTGGATGCCTTGAATTTTGGCATGATAACATGAGCTACTGTACAGCTGCATCCATCCGCACGCTCCTAACAGGTACAGCTCCCCATGTGTGCTCTCATGTTCTCTGATAACGGGCAAATATCATCCTCAGGTGCCTGGGCCTACAGCCCCTTAGGCATCCAGCCCCAGCTATCTTGGAGAATTGATGGGAGGGCACTGGGGTTGCCCAACAGGCTGCTATCTGTGGTTCAGCATTGGAAAGCACTGCAGTCTTGCAGTGTCATTTGCTGCAACTCAGCTGGGAAAGGGTGAAGAGCGGGGAAGAGGAAGAATGTAGCTCACCTGGACAAGCTGCTGCTTAGGAGGGAGGCAGCACAGCTGGGCTTGTTTGGGGCAGAGGCTGGCTGGAGAGGGTGACTCGAGAAACAGTCATCTCCCCCTTCTCCTGCTTCAACTAAGGTGAAGCAACTATAAAAGCAGGCAGTTTACTGCAGAGCTGAGAGGCTGTCCTGTCTGCTTTCCTGTAAGGACAGCTTTGCTGGCTGAGTCATACTCTTTGCTTTCTGTTTAATTTGCAGTTGGTGCTTGGTGGAGGGGAGCTGTGGGCAAAGCGCCTTTGTTTGGGGTCTTTTGGTGTTGGTCCTGAGCTCAGAATAGGTCTGGGTAGGGAAATGGAAGATTATATATCTCCTGGTAGGCCCACCTTCAGCTCTGATGTATGGTCCTGCATGTCTTGGGCTATTGGGCAGGGGTGTATGCACCCAGTGCTGCATGTCTTGGGTCAGGGTGCTTGGTGGTAGCCTGCTCCTGCATATCTTGGGCTACTGGCTGGGGTGTATGCACCTGGTCCTGCATGTCTTGAGCTACTGCCCAGATGTGAGCATCACGTGATACTTGCTAGGGAGAGCCAGCCTGATCCTTCAGTGTTTCCAGGCCCAGACTAGCTTGGGCTGTCACTATATAAAAGTCACCTCAGCACTTGCTTTGCAAAATGAACCAAAGCTTGATATTTTACTGTGAATGAGCTACTGGTGGGAACTGCTGCTAATGTAGGAGCGAAGTGATATTTCTTTGCCTTTTAGCAAGGCAGTGTGCAAAATAATGCTGGGTGGGGATGGTGGCTGGTTGAGCCAACATGGCCATTCATCAGTTGGGGAGAGGGAAAGCTGTCACTGGGTTGAGATGCCCAGGACCCTTCAGCCTAATTACTGGAAATGAGCTTGTGCTGTTGCTTTCTTGCAGTCCTGAACATGTGGCCAGCACCACTTTTAGTCTGTCTCATGCCTGTGTATTGGTGCATGTTCAGACCCAGGCTAGAGCAGCTGCGTGGCCTCACTGCCAGCATTTGGTGTCTGCAGAGCACCTATAAGAGAGGGAAGGGCATGCTTCCTGGCAAAGATCCTGGGCTTGGTGCAGGAGCAGGGCCCCCTACTTAACCCCTCCCTGTCGCATCTCACTAAGAAACTTGCTAACATTTTGGTCCCTTGTGTGAGTCCCCCACCTTCCCCTCTAGACATTAAGGTCCTGATTTGTTTGGGTTTTTTTAAGGACTTTCCCACTGATGGTACTGCCAATGCCTGCCGACTTGGGCACACTTCTGATCATCAGAGTCCCTGCTCCTTCATCCCACCCTGGTGAGGCAAGGTGGGGGGAAGATAGGATTAAGTTACAGCTGAGCTTTAAAGGGCTGATTGCACCCGGTCTGGAAAGCAGCAAGCACTAAGGCATCATTAATTAGCACCTCTACAACAGTCCTGTATTGCAGGGAAGAACTGACCCAATATCTCTTCCAGTTTTATTCTTCGCAAGGTTGAATTGGACCACACAGCTCCTTCATGCTTCCCAGATCCCTTAGCCTCAAGTCTCTGGTGTGCCAGCTGGTTGGACCTCTGTCCAAACTGCTGGCTGCCTTGAGTCTAGCATCCCGCTTTTCAATGAGTCTACGCTCCAACTTCCATCGCAGATAAGGGTGGTATTATTAGCTAGGTCGTGTGGGATAAACTGACATGACAGCTGCCTGCTCTGTGCCAGAAATGGGACCAGACAAAGCCCTCTTCTGTCTTGGAGGCTGCCGGCCTGTCAGTCTTTAAGTGCAGAAATGATCACCCACTCTTATTCGTTTGAATTTTGAATTTCAATTTTTCTCTACAGTAAAGTGCACTTAAAACAGGCTTTGGCAGTAATTAGAGGCTGTCTGATAAGTTTTATGGATGCAAAAATGGGTTCATCTCCATAACCACCTCTATGCTTCTGTGCTGTTGTGGTTCAGATGAAGTGGCTTAGCAGAGCACACAGTCAAAGGACATGCATTAACAGCATCTTCTGCAATGAGGAGACTAAGCATGCTGAAAAGAGCATCCCTGCAGCGGGTCATTCTGCTGCCAGGGAAGTCGATGGCAAAGATCCCGTTGACTTCAGTGGAAGCAGGATCATGTGATAAATACATGTATCGGGTTCCAAAATATACTCCAGAAAGATTAAACATGAATGGACTCTTGTTTGCATGACTAGTAATGATGTCTTGGGATTCACTTTCTCTGCTCATCTCTACAGTGGTAAAGCTGCTTTAAAAATGATGCTTTTAAAAATCAAATAGCTTTCATATAGCACCTTAGAGCACCTGCTTTCTAGTCACTGTCAGATGGATTTGGCCCCTTTTAAAAACCAAGCTATTTGTACTCCAGTTCCTTTGTTTATGTTTAGAAGCCTAATTTCAGGTCCCCAATTTGGAGAGTTTTTTGCTCAAAGCCTCATTACCCACCATCAGGCTCAAGGAAAGTTCAAGATAGTAAAAAAAGTGCCCATATGTAGGAAATAAACTTCATTTTACATTTATGTGGACTTTTATCATCTTGAACTTTCCCTGAGCAGGATGAAGAGAGCATGAGCCCAAAAGCTTGCAGAAAAAAATTTTTTTTTTTCTTTCAACTTCTCAGTTGGTCTAATAAAAGGTATCATTTTGGAGTTCTAGCCTTTTTTGCATTTCTTTCCATCTCAGACCAACATGGCTACCACATACATCCCTGACCTACCAGTAACTTTGACTTTTCCACTGAGTGTCGTCAGAAAGGCCACAATTTTTCTCAAAATTTTCCCCTCTGAATTCCTCCAGGAAAACTTCACATGTTGACAGTCAGAATAACTTTGCTCATCTGGATATGAGACTTGAACAATGGGAGAGTCCAACACAATCCAGGTGTGTTGAAACTGCTTTGGTACTGCAATATTAAGTGGCTTTATAGGGCACTGTGTGCCAGTAAAGGATATGGCAATGTGAGTAAATAAAATGTAAGAACATAGTTAAAAACATTTTGACTCCTGAGTAAAGATCAGGAGCGCTTTAATGAACACCAATGATTGACTTGCTGACTGAAAAATGTATTCCCAATTTACCCTCTGAAAATTACTATGCAAAACTGATGCTTAACACTATTCCTTTATCATTAAGAATTCTTCCAATGTACTTGATACTTGAGTAGTGTTGATTGGTCAGAACTAACAAGGTATCTTTCAGGCTCCTGACTGGTTAAGTGTACCAGCACTTCTGGTACTAAATGCATGAGCAAATCATTTTCATAACTATGATATTTGTTAATTTTCAATTAATTTTAGATTTGCTTGTGCAAATTTAATAAATTGGTTCCTGCAGGTTGGTATGTAGAAATGTGCCGGGTCTGACTATTCATGCCAGTGAAACGCAATCACACCAGTGTTCATAGAACGGGGATGCAGGGGTCACAGGTGTATGCAGGCATGAACATGAAGTGTTCCAGCACTTGAGCCAATATCCCTGAAAAAAGGGATTTTTTTTTTTTTTTGGTTGAGTGCATGCAGTGAAAGGACAGCTGCATTATTTGTTCCTTTCTAGGCCTAAACCCACCAAATCGGTGTCTGTTTCCCACTTACCTCCCTGGGGCACTGATTCATCATTGACTCGGAGAAAGCTGTACATCTTTGGTGTCATCAGTCCCCCTTCCAGCAACGTGCTGGTTTTGTCTGGAGGTCTCCTATCCAGTCACCAAATAGGACATGGTTTGCTGTGGAAATCAAAGAAGAGCAGGTCAGGCTGCTCCGTCTCCATAAACTCCAGCGTGTTGCTATTTGTCACAAGACACCAGTAAATGAACTTGTATGGCTTTGATGGTTTGTTCTCCACAGTCTCTTTCACCTGGGCCCACAAAGCTGTGTGCTGAGACTTCTCCCTTCAGCAGAAGAGGCTGCAGCAGCCATGCCCTACCTCCCCTCCCTGCTGGGATGGACTGTAACTCTTCTCAAGCCTCCTGCAGACTTTTCTTCATTTTTTTGCATCCTTGCATTTACAATGGCAAGACTGCATGTAGATGTGGAGCAAGTATAAGAACTGTGATTTACTGGGTCAGATTATAAATCTATCCAGCATCACACGGGTGCAGAGGGTGAACAGGGCAGGTCCAGGACTCCACTCCCTGTTCCTCTCCCATAGCGGTTTCCAGCACTGAGGGGTGTAGGATGTTCTGACTCGGAGGCTGCATCCCTGTCTACCGTATTCAATACCCACCGACGGACCTTTCCTCCAAAAACTGGTCCAATCCCCATTTGAACTGGGTTAAGCTACCAGCCTCCACAGCTTCTTGTGGCAATGAGCTCCACAGGTTAATTGCTCACTGTGGGGGAAAAATAACTCCCTTTTTGTATCATTTCAGAGCATCTCTGCAAATGGATGGGGACTGATAGAGGGTGGGGTTGAGCAGCTTCCCAAAGAAGCTGCTGACCTGTGATACAGTGAAGATCCTGTGATAGGTGCTTGCGCAGAGTCAAGATTGTGTATTACCAGGGGGCGGGAAATGAACCCAAGAGTCGTCAAAGTTTGACATTGAGCAAAAACAAAAAAACCCCAGCCATCTTCTGAAACTAGAGGGAGGGAAGGAGAAAATAAGATATGCAAAACTGCTCTTTCCAGGGAGGGGAGAACCTTGACTTCGATTGTCAAAGGTGTTGCACGGCCAGACTCTGCAGATGCCAGGCTTTGAGGAGGACAGCAGCACCCAGGTAGTGGACTTAGTTGCCTAAAGAGGCAAAGAGATCTGGACCTTTGATGCCATCCTGCAAAGGGCTACTAAAGATGTCCTTTAATCATCAGTGTATGATCCCGTAACATGCTTCTGGGGGCTAGGGGACATGTTGCTATGGAGGGAGATGGCCACAAGCCTCTTCCCATGAGAATCCATGAGCATCCAATAACCCTGAAATCCCACAGGCTGGTTTTTTCCGCCTTTTAATGCCATTAAGCTAATGGTGTCATGGCTTGCTCTTTCTTATCCCTTTCTCTTGTCTCCCATCCCTGTGACTCCCATTAATCAATCCCTGTGTGGCTATCTTTTTCTGCAATGTGTGAGTACTGCATTCGCACACATACAGGTTGTGCATTCAGGGCTTTTGCTCATATCTATGCTATTTGTTGCTAAAGGAGTGGGGAACTCCTTGGGGATAGAGCTCCAGCCCTGATTCTGCGCTGCTTCCTGCCTTGTGTGTCACGTTATGTGCAGTGGTGGGCACTGTAAGAGGCTATCGGGCCATTCTGGTCGCACAGTGAAGGCTGCTGGCATTGCACTCACAGCTGCGCAAAATGGGTGTAAGTTGCTCCCCCAGCTGTACAGCTGTGAGCAATCCGGCCTCACATTTGGGAAGTACAACTTGGCTGCCACCTGAGCGCTATGCACATGCTGCAGCCCCGGTCTGGACTGAAGGGACATCAAGGGCGTGCCAGAAAACACACAGCTGGCTGTTGTGGGAAAGGAGGATGCATGGGGAATATGACCTACCCCCATGCCGGCAGATGGGATTGCAGGAAATGTGTCAGGGCTGCTGAGTCCTTGTTCAGTATAGTACAGTAATGTCATTAGCAATTAGGGCTCTGGGTACACTGCTTTACAGCCAGGCATCCCTGTGGCTGGACTCTTAGTGTGTCTCCATCACTGCCCTTTGTCTTCCTGCTTCCACTCTCTGGTATCTTTTCATCATTTCCAGGGTAGGTTTATAACAAAAAGATTATACAGTTCACAGCAGATCTCTCTTTCCACCCTGCTTGCTCCTTCGTTAACACAGCCCCAGCCTGCCATAGTCACTTTAACCCATGACATACCAGGACCTGTGGGCTGCCGGCAAATGAATGCTTGGATGGTTTCAAGGGTGTAGAAATCTAGAACTCTTGGGTCCGAAATGATACCTTTTATTAGACCAACTGAGAAGTTGCAAAAAAAATATCCTTTCCTGCAAGCTTTCGGGCTCATGAGGTCTTCATCCAGCTCAGGGAAAAGTATAGATTGTGCAAAAATGAAGTTTATTTCCTAAATTTTCACCACTGGAGGTGGAAGGCTGTCCCTCTGGGTGCATGCAAGTGTCTTGGTGAGTTGTGTAGAGTTGCTCTTTGATGTGTAGATCAAGTAGGATCTCTTCCCTGCAGGAGTCAGATGGCAGGCAGGGAGATAGGAAATCTTTCTTGTTGGTCTGCAATGAAGTTTAAAATCCAAAATCAGCTAAAATTCGGCATCTTCCATCTGTTGGGGGTGTACATGGTAACCGTGTTTGTCTGAGACCAAAAGAAATGCAAAAATATAGAATTCTTGGTTCCAAAATGATACCTTTTATTATTAGACTCACTGGGAAATCGCAGAAAAATGGAGGGGTTCAAGAGAGTCTGGTTCCAGTTCTCTATCTTCTTACCAAGAAGGGTTAGAAATGGGGGCTCCTGGAACCCAAATACTGGGGGGAGTCCTGGGTTTCTGAAGGGACAAATATCACTCCATTTCTAGCCAGGGCAGGTCCTGAGATGCTTTACCTTTGTAGCAATTATATCATTGCACGCAGAAAAGCAATTTCACCTAATTTTTAGTTTTCTAAAAATATTATTCTTTTCCTTTTCCTCAGAGGCCCAGGGATCAGAACAACTGCAAAATAAACCCTAGTGACAAACTGTCCCACAGGCAGATGCACCAGTTTACTGTAACAGTCAAATTTCTGCCTTGATTAGAGTGGAATAAGTTCATTAAATCTCCATTGTGGAGATGTTCTTTACAGAGAATTTAGCCCAGGGCGACTGCAGCAGTACAAGGAGGGACAGTAAAAACAGTACCATTAAGTCTCCAAAATGTCTGCCTATGCAAACTGGCACTAAACTACCTAATCTTTACGGACATGAATGTACTTTGTGGGGACAACGGATGCACGTACATTTAAGCGCCCACATATCCAAATTTGACATTTGATGTATGGTGTATTTTTGCCTTTGTGGTAACATCTAGTAATACAGTTAAAGCAAAATCTCACTTGATTTATCTGCAAAGCGAGTGTGTTTGCAATAGTTTCCAGTGACCGTTTCATCACGTTATCCTATTTGTCTGCAAAAGCTTTATAACATAGTTCCTATTGAGGTCAAGCCTACTCATTTGCTGCGGAGTATTAACAAAGGCAATGGATGCATAAACTTTGAGTGTATAGCTCTAAAAAAAGTGTAAATGTTATGATGAATTGTCTCCACATGTAGCACAGGGGCTGTAGTTTGGGTTTCTCTGCTTCACTAATTATTCTGAAATTTGGTGACTTTTTTTCCTCCTGTTCTGATGTGTCTGCACAGGGAATTATCCTTCAATAGCTTTCCTTTCCCTCATCTGGACAAGCCCCTAGTGATGGAGGGAAAACAAGGACTTTGGTAGAAACAGAGGTAGGTATCCTAAGGGACATCCCAATTGTTATCTGGGATGTGCCATCTAACTCTTATTGAGTCTTGGTGCATGGAGTGATCAGACTTCTTTAGCATAGGCAACTGATCCTTTATGAGGCTTGTTGAAAAGACTTGGGAACCAAAATTGGAAGGGACAAGTTTTGAAGCAGGCTCTAGTACCTGTATATCCTGGGTTTCGACCAGCTCTACCCATCTCAATTTCTTCCTCCCTCTGGTCAGTACACATCCTGTTCGTGCCTACAATCAGCGTGCACCTGTTTCACTCCCACTGAACAATTTCCAAGAGCATGTTATAGCAATATTGCCGTGTGGCTGCCAAGAGAGGCACTCTGCTCTCCGTGACTTTCATGTTCCCTTCTCCTCCTCTATCACACTCTGCTTTCACCCACTGGTCAACCTTTTCAATCATTTCATATGCAAAATGGCCATCTGCAGCTCTTCAATCATTCCCATTTTAATTTACAAAGCCCACTTAGCAGGGCTGGTTATCGCTCTGCTTTAGAAGTGAAGTAATTGAGGCCGCTGCCTGATGTACTCAAGGAAAGACAAATCCCTCCCTTTTGTATTGATTTCAACCGATAATCATTGTCTGGGCTGCAAGCTCTTAGCTCTAAAAACTTTGAGTCAAATTCTCCTTTCGCTTGCCCAGCTGTAAGTGTGGGGAAATTGCACTGAAGTCAAAGGAATTTAATTCAGATTTAAACCAGAGCAAAAAGGGGCAGGATTGCCCACTTCACCGTTAATTTAGCTCTAAAAAAAACGAGAGAGAAGAAAGAGCAGGTTTATTTGAGTCCAGATTGCGCCCATTACTGCCACTGAGCAGTAGCTGATCCCACTACCAGTAATGCAACTCATCATGGAGTAAAACCTTGATTTATTTTTTTTTTTAATTATTATTTTTTGGTTTGTTTTTTGTTGTTGTTGTTTTTTACTCCTGTTCAGTTCAATAAGCAAAACTCCCACTGATTCCCTGAAGTCAGTCTCAAATCCCAGTCTTAACTGCACTTAAAACACAAGCATTCAAGCACTAAGTGCCACCATAGCATAGCAAAGTTAGCATTTTGTTTCCAGCCAGGAGCATCTCCAGATGGTATTACCTAACACGTGGAGCTAACACGATTGGGAGCTTCCAGTGAGGTGCATGCACAAACCACCCCTCCACTCTGCCAGAGCCCATTTATGACCCCACTACAGTGGGAGAGCTGGGACCAACAATCAGGGTATATTGATCCACCCCACCACCCGAGCATTGCAACAGCTCTGCTGTGGTGCTGAGGCTAAGTCTAACAAACAACTGTTTAATTTAGATAGTAGGAAGCATTACTGCTGGCTAGCCCCACACCGAAGCACCGTCGTGCCCCAGCCAGCAGCCCCTCTGGAGCATGTTGAACTGGGGGGAGCAGCCCCAGGCTGGCAGAATGACCCCCTGGGA